ATCTCACCGGCTCAAGGTTGACTTAGCCTTCCATCCTTCCGAAGTGGGTGAAATGAGGACCCAGATTGTGGGGGCAATATGCTGACTCTGTAAACCGCTTAGAGAGGGCTGAAAGCCCTATGAAGCAGTATATAAGTCTAACTGCTATTGCTATTGCTATTAAGACGGGGCTAAAATTTACATCTGTTGATTTCTAGTTGTCTCCTTAACTACTGCAACAAACTGGCTTTAGGCAGACCTATAGCTCCATGAAATTCAGGATCAATTTACCAATAAATCACTGTTCTTAATCATTTTCAGTATCAAAGTTACATTGAATACACCAAGACTCTTCCTCTGAATCCTGCCCCAGAGATCTTTGGGATGAACTCCAATGCTGATATCACCAAGGATCAAGCTGAAACGCAGTTGCTATTTGATAATATTCTTCTCACACAGGTGTGTCCATTTTCAGTTCAAAAAACTAAGAAGAACCTAGCTACCACCATTACAATCAATGGTTTTATGCACTTTGGGGGATAGTGTTTGAAATGCAGAAAATCAGCTTTTTCTTCTCTGTTGTGGGCCTGTAATCTTTGTAAATCTAGACTGTGAAATACTACAATTAGGTTTTAACCAGAGCAGTTTCCAAATTGCATGCATATAGATAAACAGTGGACAGTTCAAAAGGAATGCTGAATTGCTTGAGTACTATAAAGCTTTTAAGGATCTCCAGTAAATTCCAAAATACATTATTGGTTTTCTTCTGGGAATTCCACCAGCAATAATGAGTATATACAAAGATGTCTCCAGTACTTTAGGCAGTCATCCTGGCCTGAAGCCTCTAATGCTTTCCTATTTTTACTTCTATTTCTCGAACATCTCATAATACAAGGTTCAGGAGATCTACCATACAATTTCATTTCCCCCAAGGATGAAAATATTTCCATTCCATAGGGAAACACAGGCAAACGGAGAATTATGTCACAACAACAGGGACTTGAGAAGCACACGTAGATCTTCAAGCCATGCAGTGTCCTTCCACACAGGATGCCTAATGAGTGAAAGTTTTGACATTGCACAAGTGCTTGAGAATGAAGCAAGAGGAACAGGTCCACCATCTAGAACAGGGGTGTCAAGCTCGATCCCATCGTGGGCCACATCAGGAGTTTTTTTGGCCTTGGGGGAATGGGGTAGGCCTGGTCATGGCAGCTGACTGGGTAGGCGTGGCCGGGCCTGGAGCGACGGGCTGGTTCCTCACCATCTTCGGGATGGCCCCGGAGGCCACATGTTTCACACATCTGATCTCGACTATATGTGAGAAAGGCCTGGATCTCAATGCAATTAGAAATGTATATGGCAAATGCAGAGTTGAGTATTCTTAAAGCTCTCCAGATTGCTTACCTGCAGGTAACAGTGTGGGAAAGAAACATATGTGCGCCCTAAAAGCCTCACTATTTTAACATTTTTTGGGTCCATACTTAGTAGAAAGTGAACACTGAAAAGTGTTCGGAGACTACAATTGGTCCAGAATGCAGCCGCGCGAGCGATATCGGGTGTACCTAGATACACCCTTGTTACACCTATCCTCCGCGAGCTGCACTGGCTCCCTAACAATCTCCGAACGTTCTTCAGGGTCCTGGTTATCTCCTTTAATTCTCTACATAGCCTA